TCTTATTCTTTGGATTCGGATTTATTTATTGTTCAATTGGCAAAAGTCAACTTTTCCCGCCATCACATACATCCAATATGCACGGGCAATCTGAGACGGACGGCATCGTCGCATCCTCGGACAGCAGAGAACAAGAACATCCGACAGTCATAGCCGAGACAAAATCAGAGGTTGATAATGATACACACTCCCTATCGGGTGCTTCCAGCAATACCGCCGATGAAGAACATGACCCAGAGAATCCCCCACGCCTAGAACGCCAATTGACGGAGCTTGGTCCTCCCATCAAGGTCCCCCGACTCAAGCGCAGAGGCTTGTTTGGCCAGTTCGCATTGGTAGCGGAGGTTGAAAATCCAAAGACATACCCTCGCAGAATGAAATGGTTCATCACATTCGTCGTCGCTCTTGCCGGAGCCACAGCACCAATGGGCAGCGCAATCTTTCTCCGTGAGTCTCCAATCACAAATTGGGTATTCGTCTAATCATCTCTAATCAATCTTCTATCAGCTTCACTATCACAAGTAACTAAGGAGTTGAATACGACAACCACCATCACTAATATGTCGATCGCGTTGTATATGCTGGCCATGTCGATCTTCCCATTGTGGTGGTCATCATTCAGCGAGCGACTTGGGCGACGGACGATCTACCTGGCTTCTTTTACTCTATTTGTGGTTTTCAACTGCCTCTGTGCTATCTCGAGTTCTATTTCAATGCTGATTGTAATGCGAATGTTGAGTGGTGGCGCTTCTGCTTCTGTCCAGGCGGTTGGTGCTGGCACCATCGCCGATCTCTGGGAATCCAGGGAGCGAGGACGGGCCATGGGCATCTTCTATCTAGGTCCATTGTGTGGGCCCTTATTTGCACCCATTATCGGTGGTGTCCTAGCTCAGCACTGGGGATGGCGGAGCACCATGTGGTTCCTCTCGGCATTTGGTGCTCTCACTCTCATCTTTATCTTTTTCGCCCTTCCCGAGACGTTGGCCGTGCAAAAGCCTGTGTTGGCTGAACTCGAGGATGACGAAGATCCAGCTATCAGCCGCCCGTTGAGTCGAGTCTCGTCGCAGCAGGTTGTTCGGTCCACCGCGAGATGGCTCAAGACGATGAAGATGGTTTTCATCGATCCGCTCAAAATCATTCTTTATCTCCGATTCCTCCCGGTCCTGCTCAGTGTGTACTATGCGAGTATCGCCTTCGGTTCCCTCTATGTGCTCAATATCAGTATTGAGGACACCTTCGGAAAGGCGCCATACAACTTTTCCACGATCATTGTTGGTTTGCTGTATATTCCAAATTCGCTTGGCTACATGGTGGCCAGTATATTCGGAGGCAAATGGATGGACAGCATCATGCAACGGGAGGCGAAGAAGGCAAATCGATACGACGAGAAAGGTAGACTGGTGCTACGACCAGAAGACCGAATGCGTGAAAATGCATGGCTTGGTGCCTTCATGTATCCGGCAGCCCTGATTTGGTATGGTTGGGCGGCGGAGAGGGGAGTTTTCTGGCTTGTCCCGGTATGTCAACTCTCAATATAGCCCTCAAGACATATCGATACAGTGGCACCCGCTAACTCCAATTCGATAGATGATTGCCAACTTCTTCTTTGGTATGGGCTCCATGCTCATTTTCAGTATGGTAACCACCATGCTCACCGAATTCATGCCGAAAAAGTCCTCGGAGGGTGTAGCTCTCAACAACTTCATGCGAAACATCTTCTCCTGCGTCGGTTCGGTCGTCACTGCCCCGATCATCGGCGGCATTGGCAATGGGTGGCTGTTCACCATCCTCGGCCTTGTCAGTTTCGCAAGCAGCTCCGTCATCTTCCTGATGAGAGTCAACGGCCCTAAGTGGAGGAAGACTTTGGATGCACACATGCGGGCATGAGTTGCTTCTGCTTCGTATCACTAGGTTGCATTTTATCTCCGGCGTTCAAGCATACATATTTTTATATTAATTTTTAGGGAGGTGGTAACGGCCTGGCATACCATACACAATTGGTGTCGGTATATAACAACCTCTCTCTGTTTTGCACATACGTCTCACTAAAACAAAATATCCATACCTGACTCTGTCTCTTCATTTATGTTCAGCCGTTCTACAGTCCTTTTCTTGTCCATGTATTCTTGACTAGAATAGCCGGCCGCATCGAGGGAACCAAGGTGATATTAGTGTAGTACACACTACAAAGGATGACGAGGAATCGGAGGTAGAGAATGATTTTGAGGGGATCAATGAAGGCCATCTTCATCATCTGGAGCCACCTCGCGGTGGACCGAACATCGACTTCCACGGCCACCGTCGGGATGTCTAGATAAACTAACAACCTTGGAACTTTTATGGTGTCTGATAAGCGAATATTCCCGCACCTTAACCACACGTTCGGTTCATCCACATCGTCACTTCTACAAGTAAAAGATACTCACCTATAAGGGCTCCATCAATCATATGCCCTACCGGCATCTACAATACCTGCGTCCTCCCTTAGTCTGCGCAGTCAAGTGTGCGACTCAATGTATGACTTACCCATATCAGACTGGAGTTACAAGAAAAAGTCTTCACCGGTTTCGCTCATATGCGACTTCCACTTACATAACGGGGTATTGACCATGTCAATCAGTACCGCAAAGCTTCTACTTCATGGGACCCCTCACCTCGAATTTTGAGAATTACGCTTCTCCTAAGAGCATTCAACCCATGTCCCGGTAATTGCATATGCCAAGCTGCTACGTATAAGGTCTCCCGTATTTGTGTTATCGTGCATATTATCTAGGCCTAGCTAAACTATACCAAGCATTGGTCAGTCAATGATGGCATATTCTTGTCGAGAGAACAGCCCCTTCGATCATCAGGTGCAATTGTTTGCGTATGATGAGGCTAGTGATGTTGTTCTTTATTTACATATGTGCACCTCAATCTCTAATCCGTACGGAGTATAGAAAAACGATATAGATCTGAGTAATACTGCACGTATTAATTCACCTGCATGAAAAAAAGTGAGGCAGCCAATCAGAGATTCATCACGCCATGTCCTTGACTAGCCAGCACTTCTAGCGAACATTCGATGCATCCGTCATGAGGGGAAGGGGAGATCGCCGGCGGGATAACGGAGTAGAGGGGTTTATGCGCTGGAGATGCCAGGGTCTACAACATGTGCACGGAGTGCTTTTTTAAGCGATATCGCGAATACTTTTCCATTGCCAACCAGACAAGCCATCCGATATGAGTGGTTTTTTTCTTTTTCTCACACGGGTCACTCCCTAGCAGATCCGATGCCGGTAACATCCCATCTAAACGACCTATCTATTCGCTAGTTGCAATCTCAAATATAAGACATCGAATGAAAGTCTATTAACCTTGAGACCTCTCCTCTCCGATCGGCGTATTCCTTCCAGGTGCATTGGTGACAGAGAAACAGTTTGGCAAAAGGAAAAAACGATGTTTATGCCCATCTACTTCGTACAGAGACCAAGAGTGCAAGATATTCAAAAAAGACCCCCAGAACCCAAGAATCCTGGCCCAATTCTGAGAATAGAAACAAAGCCACCAATCATATTTACAAATGCGATGGGTTCACCTCGAGGGCCGCCATTTGCTAACCACACGCAACACGGCATGGATGCTCGGCCCGCTGCATGGAGTTGGGTACATAGATGACCCTATCTGGCAATTTGGCTGAGGGCTTGTATCAGGACGTACAACATAATCGGGAATGGCACGAAAAGTCAGCGCCGAGATGATCCGCTAGAAAAGCGAAAAGTGGCCTAGGCATGCATGCAGCTCTTTTCAGACTCGAGTGTTGGCTTTTGTACCTATCTATACCTTTAGGTACATTAGGTCGAATTAAACACATATGCCATTCTGAAAGAAGAGGATCCCAGTGACGAAGCTGTTGTAAGACGACACATCAATCAGATAGCCGTGGGGTCAGTTCGTGTACTCCGTACGTGGACCAAATTGGATGCAGGAATTGGCGAACGTGTTGGTTTAGGAGTGGCTGGTATTGACGCGAAGATCGCATAATGATCGGCTGTACTCCTAATGCGTAGTCATAGGTGAAATAGAAATATGAAAATATTCGAATATAGCAGAGACGAGAGAATTTGACGCCCAAGTCCAATGCGCAATATCACCTGATCCCGAGAAACTCCGTGTTCCGCCACTTTTCGCTCTTTTTACTTCAGAGAACTGTTGATGCAGTCCACGATGTTTAACTGCATATTACATCACCATTTCAACTGCTGACACCCTTACAGTTGGGTGTCACGGAATAATGTTCTCAGACAAATGACTCTGAAGTGTCGGTGTCGTGTCGGTGTCGAAAGTGGAGATTCAACTATCCACGACTCCATCAGAGCTCCATACAACTTCATTCCCAACCACCCTGTTTCGCCTTTCCAGTTTGATTCTATGAATAATGCAAAAATTTGCTGGAATTCCCAATATTTGCCCCTAATACCGGATCCCTTTCGAGGTTAATTGCCCTGGTCTCTCCACCCGCGGTGTACTTTGTAACCCGCATCCTATTTGCCGCCGTTACCGGGACACGTTGGGCAGAAATGGGTCTGCATCATCTCTGCGTCGCCCATCGATTTCCCTACTGAAACATTGCCTGCGTGGCTTTGTGTACAACATACATCTGTGATGTTCCCTCGGCCCAATTCATTTCTATTCTCATCTCAGTGTGTGTCTGTACCTAGTATCCAGGCCCAAAAACAAACCAAAACAAAAAAAAACCAAGTCAATTCAATTCAATTCAATTCCATTCATTCGGTGGCATCCACCCCACTTCAACAGACCCAGTTTCTCCATATTCCTGCAGGACTGCCTTTCCTATCTTGACCGATGTGCCCCCCTATTCCCAATCCCATCTCGCCATTTACTGCTTGGTGCTGCAGCTATTCCTGCGGGTGGGGACCGTTCTGCTCTCACCCGGCCCTAACCAAGCACCGGACCTCACTAAACCATCATGTCGGCCCTGGAGATGGAGACCCGACGACCGACGTGGCCCAATTACAATTGACTCCATCGGGCAGTTCATTGGTGACGTTCAGGGCCCAAGACCGTAATGCACTTTGTTGTCGTCCCATCCGACCGCATTGGAGACGAACTATTATACGCTGCCTCACCATGACTGTCCAATGCGACCTCTGTGTCACCAGAGAAACAAGCATATCCTTCCTTTCCCTTTTAGTACTCTAATACATGAGGTACCCTACCCTGTTTCACACTCCTCAATTGTCCATATTTTGTATCTTTTGTTCCTCGATTTCCCTTGCCGCCCCATACTTTTCCGTGCATCGAGCCCGACAAGCCGGCTTGTCAATTTCCTATTGTCCCGGTTCTCGTCACATCACGCGCCAGTCAGCCTCGCCCAGGCTTTCGATATATGATACGTCATTGACCGGGGATCATGGCCGGTAAGAGTAAGAAGAAGACGAAGAACAATAAAAACAATAACAATCGCCCTCCCGTCGGTTCTGCACCACCCCCTGAACCTGAGAACAAAGACCTCGTCGACCCTGCCCCGGAACCGGCAGCAGCCGCTGTTGAGGATGTCTTACAAGTATGCCGACCTCCCTCAGTACTCATATGCATCGGTCCAACGTCAATATTCGACCTTTGATTATGAGACTAAATCTTTCCAATTCTACCCTGTCACCTATTCAACGACCGATCTGACCGAGGGCCAAAACCAGGACAACAATGAGCCCACCGCCGCCGAACCGGAGAAGGACCCTGCCTCTGAAGATCCCCCTGCCGCTGAGCCAAGTGGCGATGACAGCCCGGCCGCTGAGCCTACAGGTAAGTACATGTTTCTATAAATGATGAGGTTTATCGTCGAAGAATCTATGTTCTACTTTTTGTACTTGATATTAACATACAATGTTCAGATTCCGCAGAGGCAGGACCAGCCGAGACTCAACCCGACGAGGCTGCCTCAGAAGCTAAGGAAGAGGGCAAGGATGAGCCAGCACCAGATGCAGAGAATCCCGACGAGGCTTCCAAGGAGGCTGCCGTAGAAGACGCGAAACCCGACGACGGTGCAGCGCCTGAAGAGGAAGCAAAGTCTGAAGAGGAAGCTAAGCCTGAAGAGGAAGCTAAGCCTGAAGAAGAAGCAAAGTCTGAAGAGGAAGCTAAGCCTGACGAGGAAGCCAAGCCTGAAGGAGATCCAAAGCCCGAAGACGACTCAAAGCCTGAAGATGAATCTAAACCCGAAAGCGGTGCAGCGCCCGACGACAGTGCGAAGCCTGAAGAGGAATCTAAATCTGAAGAGGAATCAAAGCCTGCAGAAGATGCAAAACCTGAAGGTGGAGAAGATGCTCCAGCAGGCGAAGGCGCGAAAAAGGAAGGCGATAACGGCAACAATGGTCAGTATCCGAACTTACATTGGGTTTTATGAAGCTGACAGTATGTAGATGAAGATTTCCCAGATTTTGATCTAGACGTAGATCCCGAGGCAGTAGCAGCCGAGAAAGAAGCTGCTGCTAAAGCGGCCGCCGAAGACGCCCTAGAGAATGGCGAAGATCAACCATCTGCCGATGCAAGCCCTCCTCCGGAGGAACCAGCGGCACCCGAGCCAGCCGTGGAGGAGGCAAAGCCAGCGGGCAAGGGTAAAAAAAGAAGGGCAAGAAGGGCAAGGCCCCCAAGACAGCCGATCCAGAGCCAACGCCAACGCCAGAACCAGAACCGGCCACCGAGCCAGAGCCAGAGCCAACACCGGAGCCAGTGGCAGAACCAGTGGTAGAGGCGGAGCCGGAGCCAACGCCAGAGCCAGCCGCCGAGCCAGAGCCAGAGCCAACACCGGAGCCAGTGGCAGAACCAGCAGCAGAGCCAGAGCCAGAACCAACACCGGAGCCAGAGCCAGAACCAACACCGGAGCCAGTGGCAGAACCAGCAGCAGAGCCAGAGCCAGAGCCAACGCCAGAACCAGCCGCCGAAACAGCGCCGGAGCCTGAAGCTGAGCCTGAAAAGCCCGTAGATAATCCTCCTGACACCCCAGCCCCAGAAGAGCCAACAGCACCCGAGCCACCCGCGGAGGAGCCTAAGCCAGAGGAAAAGCCAACGGGCAAGGGTAAGAAAAAGAAGGGCAAGAAGGGCAAGGCCTCCAAGGCAGCCGACGTAGCCGAGGTAGCCGAGCCAGAGCCAACGCCAGAACCAGAACCAGCGGCAGCGGCAGAGCCAACACCAGAACCAGCCGCTGAAGCAGCGCCGGAGCCTGAAACATCAACTGAAACAAGCGAACAACCAGCGGAAGCAGAGGCGGAGACAAAACCAGAGGTCGCACCCGAACCAACAGAAGCACCAGCAGAAGAGCCTGAACCTGCTCCACCTGCAGCAGAAGAAGAAAAGGCCCCCGAAGAACCTATCAAGGAAGCAGAACCGGAAGGTACGCCAGTTGAGGAAACACCTGCTGCCGAACCTGAAGCTGCTGCGGAGGAGAAGGTGGAAGCTGTAGAGCCCGAACCGGTCGAGGAAACCCCGAAAGAGGCACCCGTCGAAGAAAGCACTCCAGCCGAGCCTGCGCCCGAACCCGCTGCTGAACCCGTTGCTGAGCCTCCCGCGGAGCCTATCGTTGAAGCTCCTGCCGAGGAAGCTCCTGCCGAGCCTGCTCCTGAACCAGCTGCTGAGCCTGTTGCCGAACCTGCCGTTGAAGCTCCCGCCGAGCCTACCCCCGAGCCTGTTGTTGAAGCTCCGGCTGAGCCTGCTCCTGAACCCGCCGTTGAAGCTCCCGCCGAGCCTGCTCCTGAACCCGCTGCTGAGCCTGCTGCTGAGCCTCCCGCGGAGCCAGTTGTTGAAGTTCCTGCCGAGGCTGCCCCCGAACTCGCTGCCGAGCCTATTGTTGAAGCTCCTGCTGAGCCTGTTGCTGAGCCTACCCCCGAACCCGCTGCCGAGCCTGTTGTCGAACCTCCCGCTGAGCCTGAACCTGCTGCTGAACCTGCTGCTGAACCTGCTGCTGAACCTGCTGCTGCTGAGGAGCCTGCCAAGGAAGCGCCCGCTGTCGAGGAACAGCCCGCTGAGGAGCCAGTCGAAGAGCCTGCACCTCCCGCACCGGAAGCCGTTGAGCCAATTCCTGAAGCTACCGAGGCACCTGCCGCTGAAGAGAAGGAAGTGACTGAAGATGCCCCCGCTGCGGCAGATCCTGTAGAGACTCCTGTCCCAGAACCAGCGGTTGAGGAGGCACCTGCTCCTGCCCCAGTGGAAGAGACACCAGTGGAGGAAGCGCCCGCTGCCGAGACAGCCGCCGAAGCTGTAGTAGCACCGGAAGTCGTACCCGATGAGGCACCAAAGGAGATTCCAGAGGAAACACCTGCTGACGAGCCAACGCCCGAGCCAGCTCCTGTCGAAGTTGCCCCAGCTGAGACCCCGGCACCTGAGGAAGCTCCGGCTGAACCGGTAGTTCTGGACGAGGTCCCAGCTGAGACACCAGAGGCCGATGTAGCTGCAGTCCCAGTCGAGACTCCAACGCCGGAAGAGGCATTGCCTGAGACACCGCCAGAGGAGCCAACCCCTGAGTCAGAGGCTGCCAGAGACCTCCCCGCCGAAGACCCACCAGCAGAACCAGAAGCTGCCCCCGAGCCAGTCGCTATGCCCGCTAGCGACGAAGTGGCGCCCGACGAGCTCGTACCCCCAGCAGACGCCCAGCCTGAGGTGGAGATAATCGACGCCGAGCCTCTCGACGAAAGCGCGGAAGCCGCAGCAGCCCGCCACAGCTCCCGACGCCGCAGAAAGCGCAGCTCACCGATCGAGGGAGAACGTCGGCAGTCCAAGACATCTTCCGAAGGCCGCCGGGATCAACTCCAGCGCCAGAAGAGCGAGCGAGGCATCTTCACCAACCGCTGGGCCAAGGCACTGGAAGAAGCACGACGCCAACACGACGAGAAATCCCAGGTGCAACGAAAGCAGCGCGCTCTTGCCGAGGAGCGAGAGCGCAGCGGCATCCCTGCTCCCGAGAAACTGAAGCGATCGAAGAGCTCGTCCAAGGAGAAGGTGAAGGAGAAGGAGAGGGCAATGGAACCAGAAATGGAGGCCGAAGTCATCGAATCCAGACCCAAACGCCGCACCTCCGACACTCCCTCGAGCCAACCCCAACCTCTCGAGCGAGCCCGCTCAACTAGGACCTCTTCATCGAAGCAGGTATCAACATCGGTGCCGACGCCCAAGCCCCGTGCCTTCCTGCGATACATGACGGAAGGCAAATCGGATACCAATGGGCCTTTGCTACGCCTAAATGCCACCAAGGCTGCACCGCCGATTGAAAGGCCGCGCCGGTCATCGACAAGTCATAGCAGTGGCAGCCGTCACGATCGGGCGGAGTATGAAGAGGGACAGTCGAATGGTCGGTCTAGTGGATCACGGTCGCGACGCGACGAGGAGCCTCCTCGCAGTGAGCGTGTTGAGCGCACTGAGAGTAGGAGATTGCGACGCTCGTCGACGGCTGAGCATGGTCGATCTAGGGAGGAGAGGAAGGAGAGGGAGAGGGAGAAAGAGCGTGAGCGTGTGCGTGAGAGCGAACGTGAGCGTGAACGGGAACGGGAAATAGAGGGAGATAAGGAGAGGGAGAGGGAGAAGAAGCCTGAGGGCTCCTCCCGACGTTCCAGGGAGACGAGAGAGGTTCGCTCTCATCGTCGGCACAGGCGCGAGGAATCGCCTCCCCGAGAGGAGTCGAAGCTGAAGGGTCTCTGGAGAGCCATTGCTGCCCATTGAGACTATAGAGATTATTTTGCGTTTTTGATTTGCTTTCACTTTCAACCTTGTCTTTTTATTTTATCGTGGTGGTTTGTGGTTTGACAGAATGATCTATATATGACAGTGTATGCTTGATGAATTTGTGCTTGCATTGGGGAGCGAATCATTGCAGGAGTACTTGAATTGTTTTTTTTAGCCAGATTTGATTCAACATGCATCAACTTGACAAGGATTCTGATTTGGGAGATCATCATTCGCAGATCTCTCATAGCTTAGTTGAGGCTATCTCGAGGCCATCGTAGTGTATCTGTCCAATTTGACTCCCAGGCATCAGACCCATCATTCGTGTCATGTTTCTTTCATCTTGTATGTCATTTAATGCAAAGCTGGTTTCTTCGCCAGTGGCATCAGTCGTGAATAGTAGAAAGTCGCCCGAGTATCAAATGCAAAATGCAACACGTAAAGCCCTAAACCAGACAGTCTGAATAAGTAGCAAAATAAATCAAGTCTGCTCGCTCTTCGCCGGAATCACTCTAGAACACCACCCACACCAACCACGATACAAACCCTTCTCCTCCCTCTGAAGATAATTCCCCGTCTCCCTCTCATCCTCATACTCAACAACACAAGCACCAACATTAACCCTCTTCTTAGACTTATGCTTAACAATGCCACCCAACCCAATAACCTCCTGTCTGAAATACCCGGGCTCCTCATCATCATGGCTATCCGTCGAGATACCAACTCCCTCATGACCAAACGACGGAGGAGCTGGACTCTGTGCATTACTACTGGTCTCACTCCCAGACCCAGACCCCTCATCAGCCTCACAGTCAACCTCAAGCTCAATCTCCTGTGCAGCAAGACAACTCTCACCACGCCCGCACTTAACGCCCTGGCAGCCTTCACCAATACCAGTGCCCAGCCCGCCGCCAAGGTACGTGCTGTAGCGGGTGCGCCAAGCCCAAACACGACGGTATGTCGTGTCATTACTGCGCAGCGTCATTCCGCACTGAGTGCACAGCCAGACGGCTTCCTCGCAATTGCAGGGGCTGCGTGCGAACGCAATTGCCGCGACGCTGTTCTCGTCCCACGTGTCGAGGGTGTGCGGGTCTGAGGTTGTGTAGGAGAGGTGGGAGGAGAGTGGCGCTGTGCCGCAGGGTCGACAGAGGCGACGGATACGGTTTTTAAGGGTTGGTTGGGAAGGGGGTTTGATTGTGCAGTTCTGCAAAACGGGTTTAGCGACTTGGTGGTCTTTGTTGGGGGGAGGGAATTGGCTTACTCTGCATACAACCTTGGCGCAGCGTCGACATTCGCCCACCATGTCGCGCGCGCATTTGCCCACTTTTCCCGCGGGTCATACGGCTATTTTCGCCGCTGCTGGGACGGCTTAGTAGTCGTATGACTGATTTGACACTGTCTGGGAGGACAGAGCCGCTGTCTAGCATCTCTGCTAGGGTTTCGATGTATTCATTCTCGCACCGGAGAGTCTCTCTCGCTAGTTGGTGGCGGAACGGTGCCAAGTTCACGTGGAACTGGCGACATGTACTCGAGAGCGCGTAGAGGGTATTCAGGTCGATGGCGCGAGCGATTTCTTTGACGATGCTATGGTGTGACGTGTTAGCTGGGTCTGGATCTTATTAGCCGGCTGTTAACAAACAAACACATACGGATAACAGCTCAAAGCCGCCGAGAATCCATTCCGATTGGGGTTTAGAATCTCGTCGGCCCTTTCATTCGGGGAAGTAGGCGATGTGGATAAGTCGGCCGGCTCCGACGCGATGGGGTCAACCATCAAAGGGAATGGCTTCCCCAAGAGTGCCGATCCGTCGGGAAATGCATCGTCGAGGTCGACAAATACCACCATGCTGCTCCATCAGAGGCCTTTTCTCAAGATCAGTTTCATCAGATAAGATCAGGGGTCTTTATAGTGCCCCGTTCATAAGCCTAAGGAACTGAACCTTGGAATGGTTAGGTGGGATGATGACGGAGGGATTAATTGCCGCTCCGAAGACCGGGGCGGTGAGTTAGTGATCACGTTTCTCTATTTTGACTTGTCTTTGTTTCAGAAAGGTCCCATATGTGGATAGAACAATCATTGAATGAGATACGTCATACTCCCCTAACCTCGGCCAGAACACCGGGGAGGGCCATCCTCAACTCCGATATGGAGTATATAGGGACATAGCTAATCCCCATGGGTAAAGGCTAGACTAAATGTAGATCTGGATCAGTGGGTATAGCCAGTTATTCTTATTGCCGGGGAAGGTTGGAACATGGTATTAAATGGTTCTGATTGGAACCAACTCTTGCATTCATATGTAGCGAAACACAGCTATATTATCACGGCAATTATCGCCCTCAACTGGATATATATGTAAGGAGGGTCAAAATCAGTCGCCCACAATTGGGTGGCTTTCTTGTAGATCATCCATAGATACTCAAGACACTCTCCCCAACATGCATCACCCCAATCAGTTTACTTTCTACACGGAGATTCATCCAGTTCCGATTCTTTAGCTGATTTTTGAATCCAGACCTATGTTTTTGGCACTGCCAACTTGTTTGACAGGGATCAGTGACCAACGATAGACGTGGAACGAGTTGGCCATCCACACCTGAGTCTCACAACAAAGACTTTGGCCAAGCGAGCCGTCGAACGTCTCGGTTACCCGATCGTGCATTCGCCTCCTTTGTCTTTACAACGCTGGACAGGGAGCCGTATCTTGAAAGGTGTATTGCAACTTTGTGGGATTTGGAGGTAGTCTGTGACGAAGCATGGCCCGTTTATTGACCCATCGTCAAGCTGAAGAGCTGTAGGTATATGCCTGGGGGGACAAGCTCTGGTGAAGATTTCCCAAGCCGATGCTAAGCATGCACGCAGGCACAAATCCATTATAGCATATTTATCAGCAAATGAGCTTCCAGAGACTGCTGCTATACTGAGGAGCGAATTGGGCATTGCAGAACACGACTTTGATGCAACTGCAGTGAAAAAATACGAAACACTGTTAGAGAAGAAATGGACTAGCAATGTTCGCTTACACAAAAAGGCAAGTTAGTATTGCAGATCAATCATTGTGTTTTTCACCTCTAAGCTTTTGCAGCGTGGGCACTAACTTCCTTTTTTTATAGATTATGGACCTCGACTCCCGAAACGCAGCTTTGCAATTTGAACTTGACAATCTGACCCCTAACTCCCTCCTCACACGCAATCGAGACCCAAAGTCTTGGCTTCCTCAACACCCCCGGTATTCACTGCACTCCCATCGCAATACTATCAATTGTATTGCTTTTCATCCCAAATATTCCTCTATTGCCTCCGGATCCGACGATTTCACGATTAAGATATGGGATTGGGAACTTGGGGAGTTGGAGATGACACTCAAAGGCCATACAAGAGCAGTTCGTGGTCTTGATTATGGCTGCCCTCCCGGGGCTGTTGGCGTCCTTCTAGCCTCCTGCAGTTCCGATCTTACCATCAAGTTGTGGAATCCAGCGGATGGATATAAGAATATTCGGACTTTACAAGGACATGACCATATTGTTAGCGCCGTCCGTTTCATACCAAATGGGAGCTTGCTTGCTAGCGCAAGTAAGGATATGGACATAAGGCTATGGGATGTAACTAATGGGTGTTGTGTGAAGACGATACAAGGCCACACTGGCTGGGTGCGAGATGTTTGTCCGTCTCTCGACGGGAGGTTTCTCCTTTCTACTGGGGATGACATGACTGTTCGTTTATGGAACATTACGGCGAAACCAGAAAACAAGTTGACATTAAGCGGTCATGAAAACTTCAATGAGTGTTGCGTGATTGCTCCACCGACCTCATACCGGTACCTTGCTCTATTAGCCGGGTTGAAAGTCTCACCTACGGGAAGTACGACTGATTTTTTTGCAACTGGATCGCGTGACAAGACTATCAAACTCTGGGACGCCCGCGGCGCTTGCCTCATGACGTTGGTTTGGCATGATAACTGGGTACGAGCAATTGTTTTCCACCCTGGAGGCCGATATCTCCTTTCTGTCTCCGATGACAACACATTACGTTGTTGGGACTTAAGCCAAGGAGGAAAATGTGTCAAGACGCTTAGGGATGCCCATGGAAGTTTCATTACCTGTTTGAGGTGGGCTCCAGGGATCCTCAAAGACCCCCCCACGGATGCTGTTAGTGCTCCTGTGAGACAGGCCTTGGAAGACACTAAGGCATATGGAGAAAATTCGTCTGATGTGCAGATCCGGTGTGTCATTGCTACAGGTAGTGTTGACCAGAAATTGCAGATATTTGCGGGCTAATGAAAATCATTAATGAATCACGAGAGGGAAATCAATTACGTCCTTTTTATTCTCCTCTCATACCCTCGCAGGGTCTCCTTTTTTCGGTTCACTACTACTTTGTAACATGTGTTGTAGAATTCGATTCCCTAAACCCTTGAGCCCACCAAGAGGGCACTACTAAATAGTATCAAAATAAAAGGACTTGGAGAATAAAGCGCTGTAAAGGTATAGATCCGCGTCTCTTACCTGATTAGGAAACAAAGGGGAGTCCATGGGTACATATATTTAATTAGGTAATTATTAAGTTTCTCCCCGGGACCGGCCAAGGTTGGAGTCATCCATCAAATGAACTTTCCCCAATTCGTCCGAGTAACCGAGGAACCTTCGTTTTTCTGACCTGGGGAAATTAGAGTGGGGGTTGATAAGCGTCTGATATCCCACCCCTCATATCCCCCGCTCTCCCACTTCTTCATCATCAGCCATGCCGCTCAACGCCAAAGCCGTATACTCCCGCTCGGATGCGGACTACGTCCCATTTGCCAGTCGACGGAGTACCGTCCACAGCACCAAGGGCATCGTATCATGCACCCAACCACTAGCCGCTGCTGCGGGTCATAAGATCCTGAGCCAGGGTGGAAATGCAGCGGTATGCACCTTGTTCAATTCTATGTGTCGCATTCAACTTCAACAATACTGACTTTGATACTCTTGTCCAGGATGCCGCTGTTGCCGTGGGTGAGCCTCCCCTCCAGTTGCATAATCACACCAGGAAACAATGAACTGATCTCATGCTTCTACAGCGGCCGGACTTAACATGACTGAGCCTGGCTCTACAGGCATCGGAGGTGACATGTTCTGTCTCTTCTACAATGCCAAGACGAAGAAGGTTCATGCACTCAATGGCTCTGGTCGGTATCCTGGTAATGCCAGCTTGGAGAAAATCCGCAAGGACCTCGGTCTGGCCCCTGGTGAGCCTGGCAACATGCCCATGTTGAATGCTCTAGCTGTGACGACCCCTGGAGCGGCTGCGGGATGGGTGGATACAGTTGAGAAGTTTGGTAGTGGGAAGTTATCACTCGAGCAGATTCTACAGCCTGCTATTGAGCTAGGAGAGGAGGGGTTCCCTGTGTCGGAGCTTTCGTCTCACGGTGTAAGTATTCAATTTCCAATCGCAATCGCACCAGAAACTAACCCGCGCGCAGTGGAATGAGTCCGAGAAAGATATCCGCAATGCGTCTCCTAATTTCCGTGAGATGTTGAAAGTCGATCCTTCAGCTAAAGATGGCGTGCGAGCTCCACTTCCAGGCGAGATCATGAAGAATCCAACTCTAGCCAAGACCTTCCGCGCGCTCGCTGCAGAGGGCAAGAAAGGATTCTACCAGGGCCGGATCGCAGAAGCCATCGTTAAGGTGGTGCAAGACCAGGGTGGCTATGTGTCACTTGAGGATCTAGCCTATCACGCCGAGATCGGGACGCAGGAAGTCGACGCAATCTCACTCAAGTTCACTGGTCAGGACATCGTCTCCAAAGCAACACCCGGCACAGATGGCGAAGCCAACCAGGGCGTTGAGATATGGGAACACCCACCAAACGGCCAGGGCATCGTGGCATTAATGGCACTCGGCATCATGGAGGAACTCGAGAAATCAGGCAAGATCCCCAAGTTCACCGAGGCCCAGCATAACTCAGCCGAGTACCTACACGCCGTGATTGAGAGTCTGCGTATTGCCTTCGCCGACGCAGCCTGGTGGGTCACAGATCCAGACGTGGAACACGTACCTTCGCAAGGCCTACTCGACCGCGCGTACCTCGCAGAGCGGGCGAAGCTGTTCACACCCGAACGCGCAGCGGATATCATGGACCACGGCAGTCCAGCGCACAACCACTGCGACACTGTGTACTTCGCAGTGACGGACAGCGAGGGCAACGGCATCTCTTTCATCAATAGTAACTACGCTGGGTTCGGAACAGCCATCATCCCTGCTGGCTGTGGCTTCACGCTGCAGAACCGCGGTGCCAATTTCTCGCTGCAGGAAGGCCACCCTAATGCCCTGGCTCCGCACAAGCGACCATATCACACTATCATCCCTGCCCTTATCACTAATATCTCCGATGGCTCCTTACACTCCGTTTACGGTGTCATGGGTGGCTTTATGCAGCCTCAGGGTCATGTGCAAGTTATGCTCAACATGCTTGCCTTCGGCTATCATCCCCAGGCAGCGCTCGATTCGCCGCGCTTCTGTCTTGCCGCGCCGAATGATGAGAGTACTGACCGCACGGTGTGGGTTGAGGAGGGTATTAGTGATACCGCTGTAGAGGGACTGCGTCGTCTTGGTCACAAGATTGAGGTGTTGAGTGGTTGGAAGCGGGCTACGTTTGGTCGCGGACAGATCATCCGTTCGTACTACGATGATGGGAAGCTAGTTTATGCTGCAGGCAGTGATCTTCGAGGAGATGGCATGGCATTCCCTTTGCTGTAGAGGTATCCTTGAGAATAATGAAGATGAAGATATGTGCATAGTCACAAGGAATCAGCTATCAGGAAATGCAGGATTTTTACTTTACTCTTTCTGTTTCTGTTGCTGTTTCTTTTTCTTAAAACATCCTCATAGCTTTATCATCGGACATCTCTCCCGGCATACAACTGACTAGACCAATGAATATGCACTTTATAGCTGGGCTCAGATAAAGATTAGTCTGTTCCAATACAACCTTGGAAGCAAGTCTATGTTAAACCTTGTTTTCTATCATATGAGTGTCCGGCACCTACACATACACCCTAGGAAAGCGCGGCGAGAGATGCATCGATATAAGGATATAGGGAAAACCCTGGAGGTGATAGGTACAAATCACCTACACAACTGTGTCAGTATACAGCACCCACCACAACACCGCTCCGTACTCACACTCTGCACTCCATAACAACAACATGCACAATGCACCGAATCCAATCAAGGATCGCCGAAACAAAACGCAAATGCACATCATCACTCAAGCAGGCAGGTGGTCTAAATGATTGGAAGCCAAGGCCTCGAAAAGCCGCGTGACTTCAACGAGAACCCCTGATCGACACGCCAGACTAACTGTGCCCCACAGTCGAGTCCGCGACAGCTCTTTGTAGAGAATACTCTGTAGAGGAGAAAAAAACAATAAGTATACATATTCACATTCATATTCATGGGACAAGAAAAGCATCGTGACATAATATAATATATGTATGATCGTAAATCAAAGAATACCACCCTCAAAACCCCCATCTCGAACTAAACTAGTTCATACTCCATACTGACTACATAGTCCCAAAGACCAAATCCAGATCGAATCCCAGAAAGCCCCAAACTCTCCACGGGAAATAAAAACGACCGTACCAGAATCCACTGCAAATATTCCAAATCCAAACGGGAACGGCCAATTCTCCAAGACCCGGAACCAGTCTAGCGGGAATACAAGGTGGAGAAGAGAAGGTCCGTATACCACATTGAGAATAGCCTGGGTACCGCGTTGACTCCATCTCCAGCGTTAATTAGGTAAATGGTTTTTTTTCGGGGTGTCTGGGAATATAAAGTGGAGTTGGTCGAGTCTTGGCCAATGGTTAGATAGAGTGTACAAAGTAGGGCGTCGGAGATACGGCCGAGAGTGAGAGTTTGGGTGGACATTTCCTATGGAATTATAAGCTGTGGGACCTGGACCTTGCAAGGTTGGAACAGAGATTTGATATCCAGTTCTCGCGACTAATGCCTTGGGGGATGGTTTTAGGTATAAGACTGTACCTACAAAGTCTCAATTATTGTTTTCTTTCCAAGGTTGCCCAGGTGTCGAGAGGTCGCTTTGTTTCGCTTTCATAAGCAAAAGTTTATCCCGAGGTCACCGGGCATTTTCTAGGGAACCCATTTCCGCTCAGATCGGAGATCGCTTATCTCGCTTGGGTCCACGGGTATGACGGCCAACCGAGCCACGGCTGTTGATTTAATAACGTTGAACGTTATATAGGGAGTTCGGAGGATTCTGGTTTATCATTTCATCGAATTTGAAGCTATACATTTATAAAATGCCGGGGTATGGTGGGATCATCCTAAAACGAAATTCGCGGTACATTTGAATGGCCTGCAGGGGTATAAATGGTATAGTAGACGAGAATGGCGAAGAGAAAAAAAAAAAAAAAAACAATCATGATCGTGTCGTCGAAAAATCACACATAAAGAAACACGTCAAACAAAGAAAAAGAAAACATCAAATATACCTCCCAGTTCGTATCTGGGACACAAGACTAAAGAATCAACCAACCGATATCGGGAGATTAGTTATCTTCTTTGGCCTCTATTTGGAATAATTGTGGGCGCGCGTGCTGGGAGCGGCTGTGACCGGTGGATCCGGAGTCCAGGCGGTCACACTCCGGGCAAGAATGGAGACGGGTGGAGAGCCCTGCTAATGACGATTGAGCCATTTGTACTCCGTACTCCGTACGGAGTCGAGACCGCCCTCTAAGGCACACCAGTGGCCCTCGGAGTTCCCGTCCCTTGGACCCACATCTGTTTTCTTTGCCCTGGAGTCCAAGGTTTTCCAGGGCTGTTGGATCGTCCGCGCTGGTTTCATATGGAGGGAAATTCCCGGGTGGTCGTATAGTCATGAGATTTAGCCGTTTATGATCAATATGATTTGATCAAAGAGCTTCGATGATATTTTCACATGGCCCAGCTCACGGGCTGGAACTGGTGCATGGAGTGGACCTGGTCGTCGTATGGAAGGCAGTCTGCACTGGACCATGAAGGAGAGGGGTAGTGGCACTGAACGGGCTGGTGATATATTAGTCAAATGGTCATACTGAATAATGGCAAGGAAAACTCACTGGCTGGATCATATTCTCCCCCATGGACATGGGAACTAGATGCGACGGAGGCATGCCAGCATCAGTATCCCAGCGGAGGGGAGTGTGCATCTGAAGCGGGGACGAAGTGACATCGCCCTTCAGGATATGCTTTTGATACTGGTCGATGACAGACACAGACGCGGAAGAGATG